CCCCACCCCACCCCCACCCGCCACCTCAGCACCACTCTTGCCTTTTGAGACAGACCACATTCTGACTATGGAATGTGTATCTCTCTAAACAAACCTGCTTTCGCTTTACTATGGCTTGCTCTTGAATTCTTTCCTGCGCAAAGCCAAGGACCCTCACTTGGTGGCCTGTCCCAGGGACTCACCCAAGACCTGGGACATGACCATACTCATGTGCCCCATTTTTCCTGCAACAGGAAGAGCCTGAGGAAAGACTAGTTTGGTTAAAGTATTTTGAATGTCAAACTGGTATGTGTCAAACAGAAGAACCACCTCTATTTTGGTTACATTTATTTTTAAAAATAAAAGCAAACCAGGGGAACTTCCCTGGTGGCACAGTGGTTGAGAGTCCGCCTGCCAACGCAGGGGACACACGTTTGAGCCCTGGTCCGGGAAGATCTCACATGCTGCGGAGCAACTAAGCCCGTGCACCACAAATACTGAGCCTGTGCTCTAGAGCCTGTGAGCCACAAGTACTAAGCCCGAGTGCCACAACTACTGAAGCCCGTGTGCCTAGAGCCCGTGCTCGGCAAAGGAGAGGCTACCGCGATGAAAAGCCCATGCACCACAACACAGAGTAGCCCCCGCTCACTGCAGCAACAAAGACCCAACACGGCCATAAATTAATTAATTAATTAAAACAAAAAAACCAAACAAGCGTTGATTATAAGAAAAAAGAAACCCTGTCTCACCAGAAGGTCTGATAATTGGGCAGAACTGCTATAGAAGTTATCAAGAGTTGCTTTATAGAAGTAAAAATTTCAAAGTTGCTGAACTAGGATACTCTTACATATTCAAAAAAGTACTGCATGTTTTCTTTAAGAAAGAGGCTGTTTTATGATCCACTAGAATGACACCTGATGAACAAATACTATAAAACTTAATCCTAAAAATTTTGTTTTGTTTTTCTAAAAATCCTCTACATATAATCACAGAGAAATGTGACAACTACTGGATGCAAAAGGGAAGCTGTACTGGTTTTGCTTAATGCTTGCATCATCACAGAGATACAACACAAGTGGTGGTGCAATCCAGTGTCAGTATCATAATACTCTAAGTTAACATTTTCACCTTTGCTTCCTTTTTTTAAAAAAATTAATTTATTTATTTATTTTTGGCTGTGTTAGGACTTTGTTGCTGTGAACGGGCTTTCTCTAGCTGCAGCGAGCAAGGGCTACTCTTCGTTGCAGTGTGTGGGCTTCTCATTGCGGTGGCTTCTCTTGTTGCGGAGCATAGACTCTAGGTGCACAGGCTTCAGTAGGTGTGGCACGCAGGCTCAGTAGTTGTGGCTCTCGGGCTCTAGAGTGCAAGCTCAGTGGTTGTGGTGTGTGGGCTTAGTTGCTCTGCGACATGTGGGATCTTCCCGGATCAGGGCTCGAACCCATGTCCCCTGCCTTGGCAGGCGGATTCTTAACCACTGGGCCACCAAGGAAGTCCCTGCTGCCTTCTTTTGTTTTTTTCCTGATGTACTTGAAGGTACTAGAAAAAATCTCACTAGAAAATTTATCATCACCAGATAGTGTTATGAAATATGATCGACACTTCGGCAAACACTTCCCACAACTAAAGTTGAAGATAAGGTTTCCCAAACAGTTGCTTTACTAGGGTAAACTTGTCTAACCTCAAACAACAGGTAGCGGAGCAGTATTTTTTAAAAAGAAGGTTCTGTGCATTTGGAAACTAAGTCAAAACATCAGTATTGATTTATACCAAGGCCAATCATTCAGACAATTAAATACAGTAGTATATAATACAAACAAAAATACTTTATAAATACAATCTTTTATTTTAAACTTCTCCTTGTTAAAAATGAATCAGTAAGCATCCTGGTAATCACACCAACAAATATTTTGTTAGTTATAAGGGCAAGCTGAATTCATAACAAAAAAATATAATTATGTTATAGTATGAAACAAATAATTAAAATAGATTATTCTTACTTTGACTTACTTATTCAAAAACCACTGAAATCAAACATTTCATTTTCTACAGATTTATAATATTCTTCCCTGTAAAGAACTAAAGAGAAAGTGATTCTGTATAATCAGCCATAATATGCACAGATTCCTAATGCCTCCAGTTATTTTTGTAAAACTTAGAACAATACCTAGTACAATACCTAGTTGCTTCTAGTCGTCATTAAGATTTTAGTTCTGTTCCTTGAATTATATTCCGAATCCTCTCAGCATCATTTTGTACAATTTTGTTGGATGGATCAATCTTAAGGGCAGCTTCATAATCCTGTAGGCCTATATTTATATAGTAATGATGATGAATAAAATATTTTATAAATACTTGTGTTATCTAAACAATATTTTTAAAAAATAAAAAGAATCATTAAATCCATGGTTCAGCACAAGCAACAGGTTTTAGATTCCCATTTTCACATACATGGTCTCTAAGAGACTGAAGAAATTTTTCAGTAATTTCAGAAATAATTATGATTTCATTCAAGATTCAGTAAGAAACAGTTTTTTTAAACTGAAATACAAATAAGCTAACAGCTTAAATTCATTAAAGCATGAATAGACTCAAAACTCATATAACAAAAGGACATTTTTATCACCTCAATGAAAAAGTAATAAATGTCATCTTATTTCAAAATTCTAGATTTTAAAAAATAATTTTGGTAGACTCAATCCATACTTTATATAATTTACAGACTATAGTTTGTGCTCTTTTTTTTTTTTCTAATTATCCTATCTACAAAATTTCTTTGAGGAAAATTGGTTAAAAAGGAAAGCATTGTGGACTGGTTGTTAAAAATATATAACTGAATCTCGGGCTTCCCTGGTGGCGCAGTGGTTGAGAGTCCGCCTGCCGATGCAGGGGACGCGGGTTCGTGCCCCGGTCCGGGAAGATCCCACATGCCGCGG